TCACCCCTTAACTAAATACATAATTCATCACATTGACCTGATTTATGTTCACAGGGAATCCTTAACTGAGTTAGGTTCCAATGACAACCGAGATCCTCCAGAAATACCGGGTTCACATGAAATGGATGGAGGGCTAGTTTTCCTAAAAAGGCATCTTACTCGAGTTATCGAGTTTTTACTGCAGAACTTGAAATTCAAGTCCAACTTCTATGGACAAGAATCTCTGCATTGTTTGTTCATGATGAACAATGTTAACTCTGTTTCTGAGAAGATTAAAAGTTTCAAGGAGTTGGAAGAACTTATTGGCACTCACCTGCAGATGAAATTAAGAGAAAAAGTGGAGCTGGCAAAGACTGATTATTTCCATAGAAGTTGGGGCGAAGTCTGCACTTTTTTAAAAGGTGAAGGATTAAAATCATATTTTAATTGTGATTTCTTTCCTGGAAGGTCTACAAGAGCTGTGAAAAAAAAGTTTAAGACCTTCAATAGTATGTTTGAAGATATTCTTCAGACTCAAGAAGGATGGATAGTACCAGATCTGCAGCTGCGGATGAAACTTCTTGAATGCATATTGGCTAAGCTGATTCCGGCCTATAATCACTTTCTTGAGCGGCTAAGCCGAGTATACAAAGTGAAGCGTGTGAGTGAGTACATAAAATATTCTGTCAAGGACTTGGAGACCAAGGTGCTGGATATGTTTCAGAATAAGTATTGAAGATTTGGTTATTAATACTTCAACTCTATTAGATGTCAGTTTGAACAAGTTATATGTATTAGCTATCGCAATGTACTTCTCACCAAATAAAAGTCCTTCAATCGTATGTGTACTGTTTATGAATGAGAATCCACTGTATGTCTTTACTAGACTGTAAAGTGAGGATGAATTTCTGTTCTCTGGGAGGAGGGAGGGGGAGGAAGAGGTAGGAGGAGGAGGGAGGAAGTAGGGGAAGGGAGAGGGAGGAGAGAGGAGGAAGGAGGGGTGGTGACGGTGGAGCAATGAGGAGTGGACAAGGAAGGTGGTGCTGGTGGTAGGTGAGATAAGAAAGAATTGGTATTTTTATTTATTTATTTATTTAATTTTGTTATGTGTATTTGAGATTGCTAATATTTGGAGGTGTTTTTAGAATATTAATTATTTGAAAAAACTGTCGATCCAAGCAAAGTTCTAGTTTTGTCCTGGTTCCTGAACACCTTCACTTCCTCTTGAGCCTACATGATCAAGTTATCTAAATCAACCTATGAATCCCAGAAGTTATGAGTATCAAAATATATGTTGAAAGTTTTGTAGTTATATATTTGGATAATTCTTTTTGTTAAATAATATTTGGCTTGTATCATAAATATATTTTCTAATCCATCTTTTTATATTTTTAAATAATTTTTGATAAATTGTAATTTTGTCATTTATTTTATAATTAATTTCTTTTTATTATTTTATCAAATTGCATTAAATTTATATTTTTGCAGAGGTGGAATGAAATATCATAAAAAAGTGCAAATTTGTCAAGTTATACACCTTCGGATTAGTCAAATTAATTTTGACGGTGGTCAGCCGAAGAATTGGAGTAGTAAAAAGAGGCAAGAGTTCAAACAGAGGTGACTTTCCTTATCCAGTGGTCAACTGCGGCAGGAGACAATTGTGGGGGAACGCTCCTTTTTGGCTTTTTCTTCTATCCGCAGTTTCCAAAGAGGAGGAAGTCAGAAGGGACTAGGAGTCTTTTTCCTTTCTTTTTGGGGAGTAACTGCATAGCAGTAGGGATTGGAGAGGAAATTGGCAGACATTCTTGACTCCTTTTTGGGCGATTGACTTTTTCATCTTTTGTGGCTTTTCTTCCTTCATATGTCAAGACCAAGGGAAACAATTAGTCATCTTTGGGACTTTGTAGTTTTTTTCATTATTATCATGCGTATCCCATCGATTTCCTTGATTCGAAATTGAAGATAATGTGTGCAACAATTACTTCTAGAATTTTGCGTGGATTTTTCTCAATGGGAATGAGCTAATCTCTTTTTCTAGTCAAGGAACAACGGAGGCTTCGGTTCATTTAAAAATTGGAAGATCAAACTAATTTTATTTATTCCTCTTATTTACTGGTATTTGCATACTCTCTATTTATAGTGCTTATGGTTGTTTTGTTAGTTAAATATCTTGGGCCCGGATATTGAATTAATTTAGCAACCTAATGTTAATTGGAGCGTTGAATCCATAATTATTAATTGCTCTAAAATAGTGGTAACTGGCATGATTGGGGAATACGCAAGCTAATCTAAAATAACCCTGGTAGTGTGTTATTTGGTTAGAATAGGGCTCCTCTAATACGTCAGGCAATTAAAAAATTAAATCTTATGAGCGTACCTAAGTTTGTTTCTCAATTATAATAGTGATTAACGGGCGTACCTTAATCACCGACACAGTAAGGAGTAGTTGACTGTCATCGCGTGTTTGGCAGTTATAACTTATTTATTAGTTAATAATTGGAACCACCCTTGCATCGATGATCAATTAGGTGAATAATTGCCGAAGTTGCTTCTTGACTAGAGTTGTCCAATACTGTTTGAGTTTTTACCTTATTGTTATTTTTTTTGGTTTTCTACCTTATTGTTATTTAATTCTTATTTAACTGCAATATTTGATTAGTATAGCTTATTGCTAATTTTCCTAAAATCCTCCCATAACTGGAACTTTAGTAGAAACGAATTAGTTCCAATACCTGTGGATTTGACCCTACTTGCCCCATATACAAATTAACAAATTCTAGCGAATAAATTCTGGTATATCAGATTAAGCAAACTCTTCGGAGTCAGGGTGAATCTAGTAACCCATTGCACATTTAGAGTCCCTGCTCCGCTACTAGAATTGACTCAAAACTGCTTTTGTTGGTAACTAAAATTATCATTATTATTATTGCACAGGCATCGACACCCTGTCACCTTTTTATTTCATATATATCACATCACAAAAAGTACTATAATATTTATTTCAAATAATATTTCAAATAATACTCTATCCAAGCCGTCTGAAAATTTCTCCTTATTTTCTTCTTTTCTTCCTAGAACTCTTTTGCCGTCTTCCCCTCTCTCTGCATTACACTTTACAGAGAACAATTGCACATTAATAGAGTGGGGTTCAAGCTTTTATGAGATTAATTGACCGTAGCACCCTCCAGCTCCATAAAACATCATACTTTTTCAAATTTTCAAACAAATAGTTGCGTGTTGATAGGGGTATCGGTTGGCCTTTCATGAGATTGACTGACCCTAGGACCCTCAAGTTTCATTTTATTCAATCAAGAACTTCTACAATCGTCAGTCGTAATTGCACTCTTAAGTATATACAGAAACAACAAATATGGACATCATTAACACGGCTATTGAATACAAATTTCAGTAGGGCAAATTTCACCTTACCCCCCTGTGATTTAGTCTTTTTTTACATAATCCTCCTATGATTTCAAAAACTATATATAACCCTCTCATAGTTTGGATTAAATTGTCAAAATGACAGGAATGATAATTCATAACGGAGTCACCTAAAATATCAAAAATACCCTTATGTAAAGTTGAAAATTATTTATTAACCAAGGGCGGTTATGCGTATATTTTGAAAACCATAAGGGGGTTATATTGTAAAGTATTAAATCATAAGGGGGTTATATAATAAAATATAAAAATTATACGGGATTAGTGTATCATATATTTATAAGGGTAATTACGACATTTCTAGAAGTTCCGTTATGAATTACTATTTCCGTCATTTTGACACTTTAATCCAAATTATGAGAGGGTTATGTAAAAAAAAACGCTAAACTACAGAGGGTAAAATGTAATTTACCCATTTTAGTAAGTAAATGAATTTGTCAAGTTTTTGCATGTTGTTGTGTTAGCATTTATATATTTATTATTTTAGTGTTTACATTTATCATGATGGCAGTCACATTATAGATAATTACAAAGATCTCTTAACCCTCTTTTTCGAATGACTATTCCGTAGTGAAATGTGAAGTGTGAACTTGAGACTTGAAAGTTGGAATACCAGACGTGGTGAGGTTTGATTTGACAACCGCGTTGCACTACATTGAGTTACATGTTAAGAAGAAACATTTTTAAATTAAAAATTAAAAAAAAAAAAAACTGGGAGCAAAGCTGTGATGGTTGCCAGTTTAACTGTCCTGGAACGATTTTATGCATTTGAACAGAATATAAGAAGTTTTTTGGATTGCATTTTTTAAAGAGATTTTGAGAAAAAATTACTTTAATATTTTTAGAATATGATGTATGTTGATGTAAAAAGTTCATTGAGAAGTATGTAAATGGAATATTCCTGAAAATAAGAAATTTTTTCCAAAAAAATAGCAATCCAAATAGGGGCTAAGTATTTTGTTCAGCTATTTTAAACCAATTTGAACATTGTATAACAAAGAATAATTTTTGTGAACCCCAATCATGACATTAAAAAATGATATACTCCATATGATATGGACTTTTCTTTTTTTTTTTGGGCGACCATACTTAACCTTGAGGAATGGTTGCTACCTGTAGTTGTCTCTACATAAGGCAACAAAATGAAAAAATTAATTGCATCACTAAAATATTTTTCAATCACTATGATTGAAAAAAGAAGTGCTACACATATATATTTTTATAATCAATTTTTTATTTCACATATATCATATCAAAAGAAGTGCTACATTGTAATTATAAAAAAGTTTCTAAATAATCTTCTATCCAAACACACTCGGACATGAAAGACAAAGGGGCTCGTTTAAATTCCCTTTTCATTTTTTTTGAAGCACTTTCCCGACCACTTGTTTTTCTGTTTGAATGAAATCTCCACCTAGATACAGACAAGAATTTAGCAACAAAAGTTATCTTAATTGTCAAATTAGCAAATATCTTTCAATGAAATCTGAAATAAGCTCAGTTACACAACTTTCTAGTATCTTTTTTTTTTCCAACAAATGTCAACATTTTATAGCTATTAACACTTGATAATACAAGAGCTAATTATAAAAAGGGGTAACTATCCCCATATCCTTTCTTGCTAGATCTATTAGCCATGTTGGGAAGTTATTTTCCCATTCAATATTCTTAACTAGTTTGGCAGCAAATTGTGCCAGGAAACGGCTACAACCATTTCCAGCCCTAGAAACGAAAGAGAATCTGCAACATTCAAACTCCTGTCTAAGGTCACCAATGTCCTCCAGAATTGTTTCTATGCTACTGTTCTGAACATTGCTTGTGTTGATTTGGTCCACTACACCTTTACAGTCGGTTTGGACTTCTATGTTAGTTCGACCTGCATCCTTTGTCATTATTAGAGCACTTCTAATAGCTAGTGCTTCTTCTTTGCTTGCTTCTTCTCTCTTGCGTTCAGATATTCCTTTCACTTTCACAACCTTTCTAGTATCTAATAAGTGAATATTATGTCTCATTTAGATCATGTATACCCCTATGGCTTTCCCAGTTTTCAAATGCGATGAATGTGATTAAATTGTTTGCATTTCTTTCTAGTGAATTTCATTTTTTCTAAAAATTTTCCTCAGCACAAAAAAAAAATTTATGGACTGATTGAAAGCTGGAGAAAGTCAATCTTGAAAATTAAACATAACAAATATATACATATAATTGGTTGCAGCATTAATTCAAGTATTATCTTTCTGAGCCCAGAAGCCTTGTTTACTATAAAAAGCAGATCATCGTCATGTAGTTTGTGAATTACTTAATTCCTGTAGCACGGGCTTCATTCCATGGGAATGAGAATTATTGCATACGATATTTTGGACGAAGAAATAGCATGTACAGGGAAAATTTTGATTTTCTATATATTTTTTTTCTTATGCAAGGGGAGGGACTAAAGATTTTGTGTAAGTGTAGTGTGTGATCACCAGTTTAGAATTTTTACCTTTATACTTTACTACGCTAGTTTAATACTAAAACAATGAGAGAATCCAATGTTTAGAATACAATCAAGTACATGAGGATTAGTTTTAAATATAATATCTTAGAGGTCAGGTTCGCGGCCTCCTTATCTATTTTAAATAAAATTTAGATTGGAATGTCAAATTGAACGCGTTTTTACAAACAATACACACACACACAAAAACACAATCACATATATATATATATGTGTGTGTGTGACAAGAAACGGCAGCAACGTTATTTTTGCTTCTCAAAGAATTTAAAATATTTCGTTTCCATCGTTGATAATTGTCACCGTCAAGCAACGTTGGGACTAACGAAGCATTGGTGTAATCGGCAGAGGTCAAAAAATATGGGGAGCTTGGATCATGGAACAAATCACCAGACAAGAAATATCCTGGATTCTGTGAATTGATTTGCTCCGCCATTATTCCAAGACGTAACAAGAAGAAACAAAAAAAAAAGGTCAAAATATGGAGAGTAGAGCAAGAAGGATCATTGCTTGATACCATGACAAGAAACGGTAATCTCTGGTACAATCAGAATCTTATATAAAAAATTAGTAGCAGACTACTATTCTAAGTAGTAGATTCCTAGACCAATTCTCCTAGACGTACTGGAGTATTATTGTACAACTAGTTTTATATAAGAACACAAAGACTTATTCGGATGAGGTACGCTAACAGTATGTGGATTAGAAATCTTTCTCTTTATTTTTTTTGTAAGATATAGAGAATCACCTAAAAATATCTCTTTGTTCTGCTTTACTCTCTGTATTAAAAAAGTGTAACACTTAAGCCCTTTCATGTTTTTCTACTTTATTTGAGATATACTTCACTTTATGAGTGTATTTTTTTAAATGTTTAATGAAACTAATTCGTGCCACCAAATTTGTAAGCCTCCTGAACTTGACATTAAAAAAAAAAAATGAGGAGCACTTGCCATAAAAAGTTGTGGTTAACATTGACAAATCTTCAGCTGTAGTGATAGAACCCCTGATATTTGTAATATTTTAGCACAAGATTTTACGGGAATATCATTCCCAAGGCTTGAAAATTGCTAACCTTTATTCTTTTCAAGTATGCCTACTTTTTCTAACCAAAAAATTTAAAAATGTAATTGCTGTCATTTGTTTCGACAAATGTTCAATTGAAAACTTGTATTTGTCTCAAGAAGCAGCACTTGATTTGTGTTGCTTTTCAAACTAATCTGTTTTGTCATTTTTCGAGTTTCGAACTTTCTTTGAAAATATTATGAATAACTGAAGTATTAATGAGATAATGTTGAATTCCCAATAAATTCTTGAATTCTTTGTCAGCATGAGCATGCCTGGTGTCCTTGTAACATGTTTTTCCTTAAGGATGACTACATATGTCGTTTAGGAACTCAAAAGCTCAATCGAGGTTGGGGTATCATTCTATCCTATTTTTAGATTGACAACAAATAGGTTGCTATTCTTATATGTTGAATTTCAATGCATTTTCTTGAATTATCCGTCTCATAAAAAAAGCTCCAATGCAGAGTAATCTAAGATTTCATTATTCCCTAAACCTTAAACATTATCAACAGATACATGTCCATGATCTTCGTAATTAATAAGCTCATTAGTTAGAGGCAATGTTTTAAAACTCAGACTGTTAATTGAACCAGTAAGATGTTCGGGTCGAGATTCAACCGGTCGGACCGGTTCAACCCTGGTTTAATGAATTTTTTTAAAAATAATTTATATAAATATATATGCACAAAATAAGATATGCATTGGACTAATTTAAGACTTTATATGATGAAAATTTTAATATTTTCAAAGAACTTGGATTTTCATAAATAAAAATTATAAGTTAAAACAAATAAATTTTCATCTTAATCTTAATTGAATTTATCAAAAAAATAATGTTAAATCCAACTCAAAAATACCACAATATTTTGAAATTATACAAAATTCATGTCTATGAGAATTAGACATTGTGAGTTTAAATTTTAATTCAAGTTTTTGATATTTAGATATTGCAACTTAAATAAAGAAATTTTGAATTTGGAGAAAGTCAAGAAATTAGAAAATAAAAATACAAACTTGATAAGAGGCAAAAAATGAGAAGAAAATGAGTGAGTGTGACATTTAATAATTAGCTTTTAGGGTTAAGGAAAACATATTCTTTTTTGAATTTTTTTTTTCAATTTAATAGACAAAAACAAAAAAAACCGCCGGTTCAATCCGATTCGCACGGTTCATACGGTTTAATCTGATTTTTAAGTATAATCAACCCAAAACATGAACCGGACCGGAGCCAAGGCTGGTTCGCGGTCCGATTGGTCCAGTCCGGCTTTTAAAACACTAGTTAGAGGTTGAAAATTCATTCTCTCAAGTTTCCAAACCTTCTAGTACTAATTGTTTACTTCTTGTAGGGAAAACACGGTAGTTTGAAGAGACCATTTAAGCTGAAAACTTAGCTTGCATGCTCTACCAATGGTGTATTAATGTAGGTGATTATATTTAAGGAGGGGTTAAATCCATACCCCTCCATCATAAATTCACACCTTGTACAACTTTTAATAGTAAGAGCATAAGTTATCAATGCACATAGTACAAGTCATTGTTAATGCATTAGCATGTACAAAATTCTACACTAACTTAACTCATCCTAATCCTTCGAAACTTTCCAAACCTCAGTTAATTTAACGATAAAAGTAAATTAACAATATTCATATTAAAAGATAAACAAAAAAATTCCTCTAAAAATTGCAGTTTAATTGGAAGTCAAAAAAAAAAAAAAACACTAAAGAGAGGACATAGGAAGAACCCTACGAAGCCGTTGTCTCCATCTCCAATGGGTAGAGGCTTTCCCTTTCTCCACCTCCATTGCAAAAGCTTCGCTGCAAGGTACTTTTCTAGTTTTTGATTTATTTAACACTTCTCAAATTATTGATTTCCATTATGTTGAAAACTGTAAGTTGTTGATCTTGGTGAAATAATTTCAATGAATTCAATTAATACTAATACTTTTATCCTATGATGTGGTCATTCAGTATCCACTAAATTGATTTTCCATTGCCATTTACATGTTTAAAGGGTAAACATTGTGATGCTACACCTCTAAAAGAAAAAACAACACAGCCAACATGGTACTGAATGTGTCACCCTGTCTCCTTATTAAATGTGTTGCTGAAATCAAAACAAACATAATTGAACGAATTTGTTTTGACCCGATCTCGAGACTAGCCAATAGCAACCCAAAACAACAAAACAAAATTGGGAGATTAATAAGAATTCTACCATTGTGTCCCACTCCTCCAGATACCAGCCATATTGCAATTTGAAAAAATAATTCAGTTCCTCTCATGTAACATGCAAAACCCACTACTTTTTTCCCTTTAATATCTTTGCCTTGATTATGTGGAGCCTACTTCTGCTTTTGGTTAAGAAAATGAGCCCACAGGTATCTCAACCCGTCAATACGGATTATGAAAGTAATGATTACCTTATTACATCCTCCGAATGCAAGGTTCAAAGTACATTGACGTAATTACTTGTGACAATACTGAATTGTCAGGTAATTAGTGGATTTGATATGGTCCATATTTTTTCCCACAAGTACATGCTTCAGCTACATAAATGGCTAATTATGCATTGGTATATCTAAGGGATAAGAATAAATTACATTGGTCTATGACATTAATAATAAGTTACACTTATAAAATTCTATGACCTTCCAATAAAGCCGTAACTCTCACTAGAAGCAAATATAGCACAAGGACAAGTCATTTGAAGTTTCCTAAGATATTAAAGGCAAATTTGATTTTTCCGCGAACCAATCAAAATAGCCCAAAAAAGGTAGCTAACAAAATAGCCCAATAAAGTACTCATGCAATTCTTCTTCTTGTTAGTTTCTAATATAGAAGGCTAACTCCATTTCTACTAAAGTTTCAAACTTTATTAACATGATTAGTTTAATATGCTGCAATGGGGTGTCAATAAAGATGAACTCTTGTTCTTCCTACAGATCTCTGGCACTAGTTGTACTATTCAAGCATTACTTTAAAATTGCACATATGTCAAATTCTAAGATATGCAACATGTATTAGCTAACAAAAATACTCCAATCTTGAAACTCATGTATAGTCGTACAATTCTCTCTCTATTTTATGTGAAAATACAAAGTATCATGTGGTAAAAACTTGTACATATTAAAATTAATTTAATCAATTGGACATTATAAGTATTACAACCAAATCACTTGAACGTGCTATTTATGACTCGCAATAGCTTTTTGGTAATTATAAGCTGAGGTATTATATATTGGTCTTCATTTTATTGTTGTATAACCTTTTCCATATATTTTTTTTTGGATCATTATTCTTAATAGAATTTTGTGCATTTAATCATGTGAACTTTTCTAATGTTGCTTTTCCTGCGCATGTGTCCCTATAAAACAGAGATGGAATGGAGAGGGAGACTGGGTCCTTTAATTGAAAGTCACTTCCAGTAAAGGTAGTCGCTTCGAACATGAAGGCAGCAATATTCTTTACATGAACATGTCTCAGCCTTCTCAGCCCCCAAATACTATCACCATGAAGGTACTATGACCTCGTTACCTTTCAGTCCCTTCACAATAAGAATCTCTACATTCCGTAAATTAGCTAATGATGGCGGAATAGAGTCAATATCACCACCAACAGCTGCAAAGGAATTGCCCATATTGATTGATTCCAAATCCAGCATTTTGAGAAGTTTAGAGTTTCTGGAAATGAATGAGACGTTATAAAGACATCTTGCATAGGCATCAGTGGTGGCAAAGTACAGCAGAGAATGAACATATGGGCCAGAAGGCCTGGACATAACAAAATTTGAAGGATCAAAATTGTCAAAATCATGACTAGGATCAAAAGAAGCATAAGGTTAATCACTACTAATTATCAACTTGAAAAAAAGTTCTCCTTTTTAGCTTTTACCATATAGCCAAAAAATATTTACATACCATATCATGAGTCCGACATGCTTTGACACCACCGTTTGATGTTCTTTTTGAAACCATTATTAAGCTTCTACCAACCAGATCCATCAAATAGCTCTTTGGCTTCTTTTTCTGTATAAATCCTTCAGCCACCCATAGCATTATCAATCTTCGAACTCCAACCTCTTTGTCCCCTTGAAATAATCCATAATAGAGAAAGCATGCTTCCAGATGATCTGGCATGTAATTGTAACTCAATTCAAAGATGTCCATGCACCGAGTTTGTGGATTATTTATTATGATTGAGTTCAAACTCTCTGCAATTTGTTTCCACAACTCTGGTTTCTTGTGTGAACCTTGAAGCAGACCAGCTATTGCAACAACAGAAAGAGGTAATTCTTCACATTTTCTAGCTATATCCTTTCCAAGTTCCAATAGTTCCTAAGGACAGTCTTCTTTGGGATATATCTTCCTCTGCAGTAGCTCCCAGTTTTCAGCATCGGAGAGTGGACAAAGTTTAAGAAGATTACATTCAAGTGTGAGTTTCGACACCATGTCATCGAGACGACTTGTTATCAGAGCTCTACTTCCATTGGTGTCTTCTGGAAATGAGCTCTTCAAGTCATTCCATGGCCTGATACTCCACACATCATCCAAAATTATTAAATACCGATTTTTCTTCAAGTGTTTATCGAGAACCAACTCCAAATCTTCATTGGTCATTGTCAAGATATTATCTTTAAGCTCAATAATGTGCCATAAAACTTTAAGCAACAAATCTCTTTTTGTGTACACTTGTGAAACATTGCACATTACACGAATGTGGAAGTAATATACAACTTCAGGATCATGATACACTTTATTGACCAGGGTTGTCTTACCTATTCCTGGCATTCCAACAATTGAAACTGTATCCAGCTGTGATGATCCCCTGGTAAGTCGATCAACTATGATTTGTTGCTGATTATTTAGCTCTGCTACATCTTCATTTATTTTAAAGGTACTCATCTGTGAGAAATCACGACCCATAGATTGCTTAGCACTTTTGGCTCCCACCTCAAATGCCTCCTCTTGAAATGCAGCTACCTGCTCCTTGAAATGTCTAATATTTTCTGAGACATGGTAAAGCCATGACAAATTTTACCTTTCCGATCCATTGCCACTCAGAATTGAGTCAACAATGAATTCTGCCCTATAAGCTGCATCTACTAGAGTTGTTGCCAGATTTTCCATTCTGGATGTGTGAAGTCCTGTTCCTCGAAGAAAGATCTCAAGAATCCCAGATTCTCCAGGATTTCCTCAATGTGCTCTTTGAGAAAACCATTGAATCAGAGTCAATTTTAAGCAACTCTTGTAGCTTTGTCAAGAGAATATCAATGAATCCTAGTCCATTAATCTTGGGGAACTTGATATGAGGAAGCTTGACATCAATCTTATCAATTACTTGCTTTGGTTATCTCTATCAAACTTGAAATCAGATCGCTCATTTCCTTCATCATGCATCCTGTGAATTTGACAGAATTAAAGGAATGACAGAAATATAAAATCCCCCTGGCCACTGATTCAATATGCATCAAGGTTGGTTCAAGTCCCTGAAGACGAGTTTCCCAAGCATAATTGTTATTGATGCTATAAGGAATTTCAGAGTTCCAATTTGATCCTTCACTGGGAGAATCAAAATATCATTACTGCCTATGAGATCCGTTAAATATACTTCTGACTTGAACACCAAAATCCTCGGAAGCAACCTGAACAGCACATTCCTTGCCTCATCGCTGGTAAGAATTTTGGGATCAAAGAAGCTTTTACATGAAGCTTTTCAAAATCAAATTTACTAATATGGTACAACTTCAAAATGTCTGTCAAACCTGTAACATAAATGAGAACGTTACAAATCTAACGTATTGGTAGGATAGAACAGTAGTAGTAGAAAGAATCAAGACTTGAAGCATTTCATATCCTTCTGCTTCAACATCAAAGCAAGACCTTGAGAGTCACTTTGGGCCCCAACTAGTCTGGAATCGAGCCAGGTCGGACCCAAAACGGGTAGCAAGCTCTCTTCTCTCCATTCACAAGAGTCAAAATCCGAAATCTTGCTTAGGGAATTGAGCCCCTAAACTATTTTAATTGTTTGCTTTTATCCCTCATTTGTTTCAAGTCTTAGATTAGCCCCACAATGTCAAAGAAGTGTCACACTTTGATCCTTCAATCCATTTTCAACCTGAATTTATCAAATTTTGCCCCTTAAATCCATCAGCTTTAATGGTAGAGATGGACCGAAGGATCAAAAATTGACGTTCTTTATTTTGACATAAGAGGTGGTGGTCAATTTTGACAAGTTTACACCTCTGCTTCCTCTTAAGCCTATGTAATCAGGTATCTAAATCAACACATGAATCCCAGAAGTTGCGAGTATTAAAGTATGATTAATCTTTTTTATATTGACAATGTACATACGATCAATTTTGGATAAATAACAACTATACAAAATTTAAATTTGAAATTCAACTTTTGCACATGTATTATTGATCCAATGGTGATAGTGTATATATTTAGTGTACATAAGATTTATTCAGTATATATTTCCTGAATGTTTTGTGGTTTATATTATGGGAAAATCATTCAAAACGTCCCTCACATTTTATAAAATGACTTTTTTCGTCCCTTACTTTTAAAAGTGTACTTTTACGTTCCTTACAAATTCACATTGATCAAATTTGGTCTCTATCTAGGTTTCTGTGATAGCCCCACCTCCCCCTAAGGCGAATCAAAGGGTTCGGCGGACCGCCTGTCCAACTCTCGCCAAGACTACGGAGTCGAAACTCACAAACCCTATAGTACGCGCGATAGGACCCAAAGAAAAACAAACAATCGGAGACTACTAAGGTGAGAACATGCGTACCAAACCATAAAATTTTAATATCTCAAATGAATACACGTAATAGACAAGATTAAACACTTATACATATATTTACATCGGAGTCTTTAACAAATTAACTAAACTAAGGTACAAACCAAAGTATTCATACAATTAAAAATACAATTCGGGTTTCGGTTACAAAAGAGTTTAACAAAATAATATTTACACTAACTCGACCCTTTATTCCAAAATCAAGGATTCAAAGTTTGCCCCTGAAAGGAAAACAAAGATAACGGAAAAGGGTGAGTTTAAACTCAATGAGGTACCAAAATAATAGCAGTCAAGAGTCATGGAATTTCATGTTCAATTAGTCACATGTGTATATCACATAGAGAAATGAACAGACACCTTGGATAGAAAGGATACAGGTGGCTCTCAGGAGCCAAAATTCCCATTTGCCGTACTTGAACCAAACTCGTTGACTCTCCATCAACGTATAAAGAACAACTATGTCCGTAGACCCCACTTTACACCAAATTCCGTCCACCGAACATACCCCTTACCGGGCCCGAACACCTCAACAGAAACAGAAGTGGTAATACTCGAGTATGCTGGAATCAAGAGTCTCAATACCCAAAGATTCCCAGAAATAGACTACCGTGGTTCGTTATCTAATCGACCAGGCTCTTGCCGGCCCGACTCGAGTAACTAGCCACAGGTGTTGAGCTCAGAGGTCACATAAAGGTCGTTGGATACCAGCCTCCAAACGACGTCCGAATAGATTCAGATACAGATAACAGATTACACACAGTAAATAGGCATACAGACAGACAAGAGAACGAGTGTGATACAGTACACCCTCGTCTCCAACAGAATAAACAGATAGTACAGTCATTCAAATCACAGATTTCATGTATAGAAACCAAGTTAAGCAACAAATGAGGGGAGTGGTACACTCACCGGTTCCAGTACAGATACTTCAAAAGTTTTTACTCAAAGTGGCTTTAATCACCAAGAAACTCTAAAATAATCAAGATAAAATAATTATAGTTCGCACATCCACAAACCCAGTAAATGGAATGCATAAACGAGGTTCGACTACATGTCGTACGCCTTTCCAGGTTAAGTACTAGTACAGAAGAATAAAAATATGACTTTTGAGTAAAAGATAACAATTGGTCATAGGGTTACGAACAACTCCCAAAACCCTTCATTTTTACTAAGATCAACTCAACTTGAAGGAATCGCGTAGCCCTAACATTTTGGACAGCATGCCCTCTGTATTTTGCTATATTCCAGCCATTTATGGCTTCATTGTTTTTCCTCAACTCAGTCCAATTCAACACATAAGAAATCTCAATACAATAGCCCTTCAACTAGGCTCAAGGTCATACAAGTACAAAATCAAACTAGGAAAATGTTCGAAAATGAAGTTTAAGTCATAAAACAAAAGACAGATTTGCCGTCACTTAGCGTAACGGGTACAACCGAAGCTACGCTTATCGAATTGATGTGTAATTTAAACCGTTTGAAGCTAAGATAAAGGGCTACAACTTTGATGAAGACCATTCAGTCCAGTTCGTAGTGTAATCAGATCAAAATTCCAAATTACAGAACCAGAGTCCCACAATCAGGTTAGTTAACCGCACTATGCTTAAACGACAATAACTCAGGTTACCGAAGTCCAATTGAGGTGTATCTTATGGAGTTTCGAAGCCAAGGCATATACCTACATTTCTCATGAAGGCCTCCAAAGCTAAATCATACATTTTCAGAGTCAAAAATTGAAATCTCCACGAAGACAGAAAACTGTCCGCGAAACAGGGCTTATGGGCAGTCAAGGGTATTTCGGTCATTTCACATGATACAGTACTCCGATCGAGTTGCAATTTTACAGACAAATATAAAACATTATTTCCTACAACTTTTATGTTTTAACCTAAGGCCAATTAGGCCTCCATCATGGCCGAACAGAAACGGGCAAAACAGGGTTAGTTGAAACCCTAAACTGAAATTTCCGCACCAAACCAGAAATTTTCCGCAACCAATCATATCCAACATATACCAACTCCATTTTATACTATAACAAACCATCAATCCATGACTAAACAATAATTTCTATATAAAAACAGAAAAATCAATAATAAATCAAGAATCCATCAATACTCCACTTCCAACCATCAAACCTACTACAAATCAACATATTTAGCCACAAAAGCCACTAATAAACCATTATGAAAGCAAAGAAGGAACTTTCTTAGCAACTTACCTCAACAACTCAAGAAAACTAGCAACTTAGGTCTTCCCTTTCCAAAACAACTCTACCAACCTCCTTAATCCTCCCTAGCAAGACGTTTCTATGGAGTAATTTGAGATTCTAATGGTTGGAATTTAAGATTTGGCTTGGATTTGAAGTTGAAGATGAAACTTTTCCTCTCTTTCTTTCTCTCAAGTGTTCAGCCAAGAAGGAAGAAGAAATGGGATATTTTTGGTCAAATTTTTGATATTTAGTAAAGGTAAGAAAGTTAGGTCAAAGTCCAACTCCAATCGGATCGCGACACTTAGCACCTTTTAATGTTGTTCTCATCCTCTTGTCTCCCAATACAAATTAATCTAGTTAACCTCCAATTATCTCCTAGCACCTGGTAAAATAACATTTCTTAATACAAAACTTCAATTAATCTTCAAAAATTTATCGTACTTAGCGCACTAGCGGGTCCCACATCTATAATACACTTCAAACTTATCATGAACTAACTTATTTTATGAAAATGATTTAAAACCTATACTCATTTATAAAAATCTCTGGAAAATCAATATAATAGGGTTAAATGAAGAAAATGCATGGAAGAAAATAAAATAAAATATTATGACATAGAGAAAATTTACAGGTTCTCACACTCTCTCCCATTTAAAGAAATTTCGTTCTCAAAATTTTCTTATGAACGGGATCTGTCAAAATTTAAGGTAACCAACGGATCGTACCTTCAACGTCCTTAGGCGAGTCAGGAACCTGATAGTGCTATAGAGAATACACCTGAGCCGGTGCCTTCGATCCATTCCCTTCCCCTTTCGACTGTCCAGGGTTAGTCTCAGTTGGTTGCCGGATCCCTTTTCCTTTTCGCAATCGAATTGGTCAGTCGGCAATCCGATGATCAGCGCTTCCACAGCGCAGATATTTTTCCTCTTTTTTTCAACAATTTACCTCCGTATGATTTGGCCCTCCGCAATATCCACAAGGACCATGAGTAGCAGAGACTGATTCTCCCTATGAGACATCACGTAACATCCTCGATTGTCGTACTCCTCCGTTTCCCTTTCAAATCTTAGGGGGTGTACGCTTATCTTCTTGTTTCGAGCTACTCCCAGGGAAGCTCCTTTTCTTGACTTGGAAGTTTTTCACCTGTAGTCTCGTATTTTCAACCCGCTGGGCTTTCTCTACGGCATCACTAAATGTGCTAAGTTGGGCTACAGCCAGGTCCTTCTGAATCTCAACATTTAATCCCTGGACAAAACGTCTTATCCGTCTTTGTTCGGTTACAATCAATTCGGCCGTAAACTTAGATAACCGAGTAAATTGACTCTCATACTCGGCCACGGTCTGAGTTCCTTGGCGAAGCCGAATGAATTCATCTTCCTTCTTTTCTTGGATTAGAAGAGGGAAAAACTTGGTGTTGAATTCCCTCATGAAGTTCGCCCATGTTCTCGGGGTTTGTTCTCTTTCCCATTTCAGTCTAATGATATTCCATCAAAATCGGACTGCCCCCTCCAGTTAGAAGACAGCGAAGGTCACTTGTCTCTCCTTCGTATAATGTAACGCAGCAAATATATCGATCATCTTCTCCAACCACCTCTCAGCCACGTCAGGATTTGGTCATCTAAGGAATTTTGGTGGGGAAAACTTCTGAAATCTTTCAAGGGCTCTATCCTCGCCCTCTATATGGTTACCAGGATTTTCAGGTTGAGGATTAGGGTTCTGGCCCTGGTGTTCCACTACATGGGCTAGCAGATCAGTCATGCGCTGGATAGCAGCGGCTACTTGAGCATTTGGGTCAACCCTAGGTTCAGGATTTGGTTCAAGTATTGGTTCTCGATTACCCCTTTCATTCGAGGGTTGCTTACATCCGCGCCCACGACCTCGTCCACTACGAGTACCCTCCATTGGTTTAACCAATCTAGGGTCGAAACGGAAATATAACATTAAAGATAATTATAAGCATAAGCAAGTAATAAGAGGTACACACAGATCAAAAGCATATATACATAACACAACTGTACCGAACCAGTCACACAGTAGCAGTCAGGTAGATACAACCAAAAGAGATCCATGAAGGTAGCGGGGTCACCCAAAAGTACAAAAGCAACTAACGAAAAGCTATTTCCCCTCTAGGCCTCCATCCATAATCTACGAGAATACCACAATTTATATCTTAATCCAGGTTAATCATGCTTACTAACACCCTAACAAACCATATGAAGTTCCATAGAATCAAATGTTTAGTTCGCCCAAGTCCTTTCTAACCTAAGCTCTGATCTATTTAGTAGCCGGGTACAACAATCCCCAAATAAGATAATTCACAACTCAAGTCGGCCGGTCCCAAGAGTAAATCATCCATAATAACGATTCCTACCCGACATACATGTATATCTTCCTCAGGTACCATGATAAAGATTTTTACACTTATAACGTGCACGGTTCATAACTTATGCTCAAAAGAGCACTTATACCTCTAGACACATTCACGAAATCAGGACCATAACACCATTTTGCCCAAACTCACTTCGCGCAGAGACCACGCGAAGCAGCTCTGATACCACCTGTGACAACCCCACCTCCCCCTAAGGCGAACCAAAGGATTCGGCGAACCGCCTGCCCAACTCTCGCCAGGACTACGGAGTCGAAACTCATAAACCCTATAGTAAACGCGATAGGACCAAAAAAAAAAACAAACAATCGGAAACTACTAAGGTGAGAACATGCTTACCAAAACATAAAATCTTAATATCTCAAATGAATACACTTAATAGACAAGATTAAACACTTATACATATATTTACATCGGAGTCTTTAACAAATTAACTAAACTAAGGTACAAACCAAAGTATTCATACAATTAAAAATACAATTCGGGTTTCGGTTACAAAAGAGTTTAACAAAATAATATTTACACTAACTCGACCCTTTATTCCAAAATCAAGGATTCAAAGTTTGCCCCTGAAAGGAAAACAAAGATAACGGAAAAGGGTGAGTTTAAACTCAATGAGGTACCAAAATAATAGCAGTCAAGAGTCATGGAATTTCATGTTCAATTAGTCACATGTGCATATCACATAGAGAAATGAACAGACACCTTGGATAGAAAGGATACAGGTGGTTCTCAGGAGCCAAAATTCCCATTTGCCGTACTTGAACCAAACTCGTTGACTCTCTATCAACGTATAAAGAACAACTATATCCGTAGACCCCACTTTAACCAAATTCCGTCCACCGAACATACCCCATACAGGGCCCGAACACCTCAACAGAAACAGAAGTGGTAATACTCGAGTATACCGGAATCAAGAGTCTCAATGCCCAATGATTCCCAAAAACAGACTACCGTGGTTCGTTATCTAATCGACCAGACCCTTGCCGGCCCGACTCAAGTAACTAGCCACATGTGTTGAATTCAAAGGTCACAGAAAGGTCGTTGGATACCAGCCTCCAAACGACGTCCGAACAGACTCAGATACAGATAACAGATTACGCACAATAAATAGGCATACAGACAGACAAGAGAACGAGTGTGATACAATACACACTCGTCTCCAACAGAATAAACAGATAATATAGTCATTCAAATCACAGATTTCATGTACAGAAACCAAGTTAAGCAACAAATGAGGGGAGTGGTACACTCACCGGTTCCAGTACAGATACTTCAAAAGTTTTTACCCAAAGTGGCTTTAATCGCCAAAAAATCCTAAAATAATCAAGATAAAAAAATTATAATTCGCACATCCACAAACCCAGTAAATGGAATGCATAAATGAGACTCGATTACATGTCGTACGCCTTTCCAGGTTAAGCACTAGTACAGAAGAATAAAAATATGACTTTTGAGTAAAAAATAACAGTTGGTCATAGGGTTACAAACAACTCTCAAAACCCTTCATTTTTACTAAGATTAACTCAACTTGAAGGAATCGCGTAGCCCTAAAATTTTAGGCAGCATGCCCTCTGTATTTTGCTATATTCCAGCCATTTATGGCTTCATTATTTTTCCTCTACTCAGTCCAATTCAACACATAATAAATCTCAATACAATAGCCCTTCAACTAGGCTCAAGGTCATACAAGTACAAAATCAAACTAGGAAAATGTCCGGAAATGAAGTTTAAGTCATAAAACAAAAGACAGATTTGCTGTCACTTAGCGTAACGGGCACAACTGAATCTACGCTTATCGAATTGATGTGCAATTTAAACCATTTCGAAGCTAAGATAAAGGGCTACAACTTTGATGAAAACCACTCAGTCCAGTTCGTAGTGTAATCAGATCAAAATTTCAAATTACAGAACCAGAGTCCCACAATCAAGCTAGTTAACCGTACTTTGCTTAAACGACAATAACTCAGGCTACCGAAATCCGATTGAGGTGTATCTTATGGCGTTTCGAAGCCAAGGCATATACCTACATTTCTCATGAAGGCCTCCAAAGCTAAATCATGCATTTACAGAGTCAAAAATTGAAATCTCCACAAAGACAGAAAACTGTCCGCGAAATAGGGCTTATGGGCAGTCAAGGGTATTTCAGTCATTGCACATGGTACAGTGCTCTGATCGAACTGAAATTTTACAGACAGCTATAAAACATCATTTTCTACAACTTTCATGTTTTAACCTAAGGCCAATTAGGCCTCCATCATGGCCGAACAGAAACGGGCAGAACAGGGTTAGTTGAAACCCTAAACTGGAATTTCCGCACCAAACCAGAAATTTTCCGCAACCAATCATATCCAACACATACCAACTCCATTTTACACTATAACAAACCATCAATCCATGACTAAACAATAATTTCTATATAAAAACAGAAAAATCAATAATAAATCAAGAATCCATCAAAACTCCACTTCCAACCATCAAACCTACTACAAATCAACATATTTAGCCACAAAAGCCACTAATAAACCATTGTGAAAGCAAAGAAGGAACTTTCTTAGCAACTTACCTCAACAACTCAAGAAAGCTAGCAACTTAGGTCTTCCCTTTCCAAAACAACTCCACCAACCTCCTTAATCCTCCCTAGCAAGACGTTTCTATGGAGTAATTTGAGATTCTAATGGTTGAAACTTAAGATTTGGCTTGGATTTGAAGTTGAAGATGAAACTTTTCCTCTCTTTCTTTCTCTCAAGTGTTTGGCCAAGAAGGAAGAAGAAATGGGATATTTTTGGTCAAATTTTTGGTATTTAGTAAAGGTAAGAAAGTTAGGTCAAAATCCAACTCCAATCGGATCGCGACACCTAGCACCTTTTAATGTTGTTCTCATCCTCTTGTCTCCCAATACAAATTAATCTAACTAACCTCCAATTATCTCCTAGCACTTGGTAAAATAACATTTCTTAATACAAAACTTCAATTAATCGTCAAAAATTTATCGCACTTAGTGTACTAGCGGGTCCCACATCTATAACGCACTTCAAACTTATCATGAACTAACTTATTTTATGAAAATGATTTAAAACCTATACTCACTTATAAAAATCTCTGGAAAATCAATATAATAGGGTTAAATGAAGAAAATGCATGCAAGTAAATAAAATAAAATAAAATATTATGACATAGAGAAAATTTACGGGTCCTCACAGTTTCCGACTAGTTTTTAGCCGGAATTCATCACATGCAAGGTTTGTGATCATTTTTTAGGGGTAAAATTATCAAATTAAAATTTACATAATCCATCTATAGTCCCTTACATTTCACAAAATAAATTTTTTCATCCCTCAGATTTCTCAAAATGAATTTTTTTATCTCTCATTGACCACGTGTATGAATAGTTTTTATTTATTTTTTAATTCATGAATATATCTATTTGATTTCATATAAACAGCACAAATAATATATAATATATTTCTATTTGATTTCACCTAAACAGATCGATATATACATGAGTTTAAATCTAATAATTTTGTTTTAAACCTATATATATATATGTGATTTCACCATGTGAATCTATTCAATATTTGTAGTCTTTTCTATTTTAGTAATAATTCATTTATTGAGTTGTTTAATAAGAGTATCTAATTAATCAGTGTTAATTCGAATTCTATAGTCATGCTAACAAATTGCAGTTTAAATCTGAAATTTTTACTCGCTACCTTTAAGACCAATAGTTGAATTTCTTACCTTATGATTATTTTAAAATTTGAAAGTGTCAATTACTTACTTCTTTTTGTCATATTTTTCCTTTGTTTATTTTTTCTGTCTAAATTTAATTCGATATAAACACTTGATAATGTTTAGAATTAAATGTTTTCTTTGTTTTCAATTTTCGAGTAAAAGGAATGAACATAAGTGAAAAACTAACAATTTTTTTAAATCTCTGTATATGTCTATTTTAATTTCACATAAACAGTATGTTTAGGCGAAAATTAAATAGAGATATATTACATGCTATTCGTATTGTCCAGGTGAGATCAAATAGATATATAAATTAGTTTTAAAAAAAGTTATTCATACACATGAACAATGAGAAATGAAAATTTTAATTTTGTAAAATATGAGGGATGAAAAAATTCATTTTGTGAAATGTGAGGGACGAAACAATTCATTTTGTGAAATGTGAGAGACTATGGATTGAATTGTGTAAATTTTGATTTGATAATTTTGCCCTTAAAAAGTGATCACGTGCAAGGTACGTGGTGGATTCCGACAAAAAACTAGTCGGAAACCTAGATAGGAATTAAATTTAATCAATATGAATTTGTAAGGGATGTAAAAGTACACTTTTAAAAGTAAATGATGAAAAAAGTCATTTTGCAAAATGTGAGGGATGTTTTAAACGATTTTTCCTTATATTATCTCCTTAATTTCCTCTTTTCTTCCTAGAACCCTTTGCTCTCTCTCTCTCTCTCTCTACAAAGAGTAATTGGATATTGATAGAGTGGGGGTTAAGCATTTATGAGATTAATTGACAAAAGGACCATCAAGTTCCATTATACTGTAAACATTTCCAAACAAATAGTTGCATGTCGATAAAGTGTCGGTTAAGCTTTCATGAGATTGATCAACCGTAGGACCCTCAAGTTTCATTTTGTTGGATCAAGAGCTTGTACAAATGTTAGACGTAATTGCACCCTCCAGTGTATACTGAAATAACAAAAGTGGATGTCAACATAATTTTTTAATGTAAATCTTAATAAGTGAATAAATTTGTTGTGCTTTTAGATTCGTTGATCTCTATATTTATTATTTCAGTGATTTATTATGCTGGAAGCTACATTGCGCTGTACAATTGTCACTGACAATTAAAGAGGCCTTTAACCCCATTTCATTTCAAAATTTTTCAATCGAATGGACCAACATGGGTCTATTCCAATGTGAAATGTGAAGTGTGAACTTGAGACTTGAGAGTTGGGTTACCAGACGCGGTGAGGTTTGACTACTGCATGGGCACTACATTGAGTTTCATGTTAAGAAGAAAAGTTCTGAAATTGCCAAAAAAATAAGGACACACAAACACACACATTGATTTGCACTACATTGTGTTTCATGTTAAAAAAAATGGAAAATGAACTGGGATGGTTGCCAGTTGAACTGTCTCGGAATGGTTTTGTGCATTTGAACAGAATGTAAGAAATTTTTTTGATTGCATTTTTCAAAAAGTTTTTGGGGAAAAATTAATATAATATTTTTAGAATGTGATATATGTGATGTAAAAAGTTGATTGGGAAATATGTAAATAACATATTGCTGCAAAACAAGAATTTTTTTTCCTACAAATAGCAATCCAAACAGGGCCTAAGTCTTCTATTTAATTAGGTAAATCAATTTGAACGTAGTGTAAGAGCCCTGAAGTTGCTCTTAGTGTGTGAATGTGTGTTTTTTCCTAATTGCACAAATAAACATGACTTTGAAATCAGGTTATCTTACCTTCTTAATATAGCATTAATCAATAAGTAATGCCAAAAATTAGGCAGAACTAAAAGGCATGATTATTTTAACATTCTTAATGTAGCAAGTAATGCCTAAAATTAGGTAGAACTAAAAGGCATATGGCTATACATGTCTCCTAATCAGGATTTCATATTGGATCCTATTCTTTTTGTTGCAATTCAGATGATTATTTGATTGATAGATTACAAGTGTTCAAGAATGGAGGGAGCAACAATGGTTTCTTTGGACAGAACATTATTTATTGAAAATGAGTTTGGACTCTCAATATTGAATAACTTTAACTTGCAAGGGTGAATATACATATTTTCTTATTTTTCTTTCTTTCTTCCCTTTTTTAGGCTGTCTATCTCATTTTTTTTTTTGGAGATTTTGATGATTTTGGTTTTGATAATTTGTATGGGAGGCAACACTTTATGTGGTAAGTACGAGAAGCATGGAAGAAACTCGTTGAATTTTCACTAAGATAATGGCCTAGATATATATAATATCTAATAATTTCTTGAGCTTAAAATTTTTCTTTTCTACTTTCTAGGTTCTTTGGATTTATAATTCTTACTTATTTGATGATTCTTTCTCTTACTTGGTTGATGATTTTTTTTTTTTTTTGGTAATCTGTATCATAAGCTGCAAAATTATAGGTTATTTTGTGTTCTTAAATCATGTGCTAAAATAGGTGAGTTTCTCTTTTCTTTTTCTTTTTAATAAAAATGGGATTCAAAATCAAGAGATAGTTGGAAACTTTAAATAGTGAATTCCAAATCAACTTGCGTTTAAGGATAGGTTAGAATAAAATGCTAAGCAATAACTGGTGGAACTATTCTACCAAATGGGGTAATAAACTCGTGTTTAAGGTTAGAAAATACGTATTTATTGAATCATTTTTTCATGCTCGAAAGAAAAAAGTTGGGCCTACTGTAAAAGTTTAAAAACTATAATCCATTTCTTAAATTACACTTTTTTATGAAAAAAGTTTATTCTTTTGCAAAAAAAAAAATGTTTACATGGGGACCCTTATATATATATATATATTATCAAAACAGAAAGACCCTCTAACCATTTTAACAACTGGGCAGCAGCTTGCAGCAAAGTGCAAGGTTACATCGACCACTCACCACTGATCTTAATTTTTGAAGGGGTCTTAATTTCCATGCAATAAACTTTGCAAGCGGAGTAAATTTATTTATTTTTCGTTAGTAAGAGGAGTTAATTTTAATTTGATGGTGCTAATTTGAATGTAATATATTTCGTACAATCGGACAGTTAACCAGAAGCCAGCCTGATATCTATGAATTTTTCTCGCAAAAGGAAACGCACACCAGAAGAAGGAAAGTAAACGCACACCAACCACTCCAAAAAGCTTCTTGTCCCACCAACAATACCAAATGCCCTCAAGGTTGGTGAAAATTACTGGACAACCGGTTCACTCACCACTGCCACCGAATACTAAAATTGTCCGGGCAAATTTTCAGCAGAACCACTAACCAGCAGGAATTGCTTACTGCCACAATCGTCCGCGTGAAATTCCAGAAAAACCACTGCCACCCATCAGCAAAAGATCAAAACGCCCCTCAAAGTCACAACAATAACGACATAACCGACTCATTCTGTACTGTTCAATTGTTCATAAGCGATCCACGCTTTATATATATAAGATTTCCAACCCCATTTTTGCATTCCTGAGCACTTCTCCTAGCCGGCATTTCCACAACCCCCTCCTGCAAACTTTTAAGCAAAGTCAAGAGAGGACACAATTACAGTAGGGAGTAATTGGGACTTTGATTTCACCCATCAAGTATGGATTTGACAAAAGATCCACTCCCAATTTGCAGTGAAAACAAAGTCAGCTTTGATCATGTGCAGGCTTCCCAAATCCCCTCTTCCCAACTCAAGCTCCAGTTCCTAGACGTATTATTCAACCCCAAGTACACTATAGGTGCAGATCAATTCTTGAAGAGTTCGAATAATTCAGTGTATCTTTCAGCTTCCATTACAGATAGCTCCACCATCACATTGCACTACGAAGACTACGAGGGCCATCACGCAGTCTTTAGTGAAGAAGGTATAAAAACGCTTAGGTGTATTGCAGCAACGTTGAGCTCCAGAAATGAATTGGTTGATTGTGTTCAGATGTATACCGAGCATCGAAAGGATGTAGTCAACCTGGTATATGTGAGGCTCCGTGAGAAATTGAAGGTAGAGACCGTCTGTGTTTTTATGTGCTCGGATAAGTTGAGTGAGAAAACCTAACGGTGGATACAAGTAGCCAAGATTTGTGTAGGCACCATTTTTGGAATAGAGAAGTGTTTCTATGAGCAAATTTTTGGAGATCTGGGATCATTCGAGGATTCTGCCGCTAACGGTTTTGTGCTGTGTTTTCAGACTCGGACTGGACCGGCCGGTCGAATCAGGAACCAGCCAGGCACCCGGTCCAAGTTAGTTAAAAAACTCGAGTATTAAAAACTCGGTCAAACCCGGTTATAATTTTGATCGGTGAACCGGATAATTTTGATCAACCCCGGTTTTTTTTTTGCCCTTTTTTTTGGCCTTTTTTCAGTCAAAAGATTGACTAACCAACTAAAAAAAGTTAAAAAATGACTGAAAAAATCTGACGAAATTAACAAAACTTGGGTCAGCTACTCTGCTTCTCATTCCGTAGTTTTCTTCCTTTCCTCTTCAGCTCCGATAACCCTAAATCTAAAAGCCTTCACCGTTGTCACTTGAAAAAGCAGGAATTGGCTTCACTAACCCAATCAGCAAAGGACGCATTGAAAGCTGTTGAGGAATCTGTGAGACGAGAGTTCGCTGCTGCAAAATCTATGAATAGTCACCTTAATGCATCATCACAATCTCCTACAAGAGGTGTTGCAGAACAGCCCCCAGATGCTTGCCAGAACAGAGCAAAGATAGTTATTACGATCCAGGACAAGGATGGACCCAAGCAATTTAGAGTTTTCGTGGATGATAAATTTGAGAGACTCTTCAAGATGTATGCCGACAAGGTCAAGCTTGATTTGCAGAATCTAGTTTTTTGTTTTGATGGAGTAAAATTAGTCCTATTGCCACCCCTACTGGGCTTGAAAATTGAAATGGAGGAGAATGACATCATCGAGGTGCATGTGAAAAGAAAATGATGTAGAGTGGTGGCAGACTGACTTCGGTGTGCAAGACCTTTTTGCTTTATGGAATTTTCCTTTTCTCTGCAATTGTATAGTAAAGAATTTCTGTTAGGAAATGACTGAAATCTTAGGGAAAATGAACTTGAACTTGTTACCTTATTTGGATTGCTATTAGTCAGGGATTAAACATGTACGAAATTTCTATTTAAAAATTTTGTGAGTTTGGATGAATTTGGTGATTTGTTTGATGAATTGGATATAAATTTAGATGATGGGATTTTAAGTTATATTTTGTAAATTTGATTTGCAGGAATATATATATGTATATGACGTATATATGACGTCATCCGGTTCGACCCCCTATCGACCCCGTCGAATCCATTGACCCTTAACCCCTGAGCTCGGCCGAATCGACTCCCGGTCCGAGTCTGAAAACATAGGTTTTGTGTACATAATAAAAGGGACTGCTGCTGAGTTGCTTGTGTTTCCAGACTCTCTATTAGCCGGGGGCCGATTGCCCCAGAGATCAGACATTTTGTTGCCCTTATATCATGAACTAGCCAATCTAATTCCACATCTTATGGCATATTTTGACCAAGATGTATGCCCAGCGAAAGCCATCTGCAATATTGCCACTAAGATTATGCTCCGACTGAAACAGCAAATGACAAATATCCTTTCTACTACAGAGAAACAGGTTCTTCGTGAGCTTTCAACGAGGCCATTTCCTGGAGGAGGAATTCACCCCTTGACTAAGTACATAATTCATCACATTGAGCTGATTTACGTTCACAGGTAATCCTTAACTGAGTTGGTGGCTAGACCCCAAGGTTCCAATGACGACCGAGATCCTCCAGAAGTACCGGGTTCACAAGAAATGGACAAAGGGCTAATTCCCCTAAAGAGCCATCTTGCTCGAGTTATCGAGTTTTTACTGTATAACTTGAAATTCAAGCCCAACTTCTATGGACAAGAATCTCTGCGTTGTTTGTTCATGATGAACAATGTTAGCTCTGTTTCTGAGATGATTAAAAGTTCCAAGGAGTTGGAAGAACTTATTGGCACTCACCTGCAGATGAAATTAAGAGAAAAAGTGGAGCTGGCAAAGACTGATTATTTCCATAGAAGTTGGGGCGATATCTACACTTTTTTAAAAGGTGAAGGATTAAAATTACATTTTAATTGTGATTTCTTTCCTGGAAGGTCTACAAGAGTTGTGAAAAAAAAGTTCAAGACCTTCAATAGTATGTTTGAAGATATTCTTCAGACTCAAGAACGATGGATAGTACCAGATCAGCAGCTGCGGATGAAACTTCTTGAATGCATATTGGCTAAGCTGATTCCGGCCTATAATCACTTTCTTGAGCGGCTAAGCCGAGTACACAAAGTGAAGCGTGTGAGTGAGTACATAAAATATTCTGTCAAGGACTTGGAGACCAAGGTGCTGGATATGTTTCAGAATAAGTATTGAAGATTTGGTTATTAATACTTCAGCTCTATTAGATGTCAGTTTGAACAGGTTATATGTATTAGCTATCGCAATGTACTTCTCACCAAATAAAAATCCTTCAATCGTATGTGTACTGTTTATGAATGAGAATCCACTATATGTTTTTACTAGACTGTAAAGTGAGGATGAATTTCTGTTCTCTGGGAGGAGAGAGGGGGAGGAAGAGGAAGAGGGAAGAGGAGGAGGAGGGAGGAAGTAGGAGAAGGGAGAGGAAGGAGAGAGAAAAAAGGAGAGGCTGGTGACAGTGAAACACTGAGGAGCGAACAAGGTTAGTAGTGGTGGTAGGTGAGAAAAGAGAGAATTTGTATTTTTATTTATTTATTTATTTATTGTTATGTGTATTTGAGATTGTGTGTATTTTTAGAATATGTTATTGTAGACTCCAAATACAAAAGTTAATTTTTTTTGAAAAAAACTCTCTATCCAAGTTCGAGTCCTAGTTTTTTTTCTGGTTCTTCAACACCTCCACTTCCTCTTAAGCCTGTATGATCAAAGTATCTAAATCAACACGTGAATCCTAGAAGTTATGAGCATCAAAATATTTGCTGAAAGTTCTGTGATTTATATTATTTCTCCTTATTTTCCTCTTTTTCTTCCTAGAACTTTTTGGCTGTCTTTCACTTTCTCTCTATTGCACTTCACAGTGAACAATTGCATATCGATCGAGTGGGTTCAAGCTTTTATGAGATTAATATTGACCGTAGCACCCTCAATTCATACTTTTTCAAACAAATAGTTGCGTGTTGATAGGGGCATGGGTTCGTAGGACCCTCGAGTTTCATTTTATTCGATCAAGGACTTCTACAATCGTCAATCGGAATTGCATTGGTAAGTGTACACCAAAATGACAAATATGGATATTAAAACATAGATTAATTTTTTTATATATATTGACAGTTTATACATTTTTTGAATTTGAATTTGAAACTTAAATTTTACATATATATCGTATATCCAACCGTAATAGTATGTCAGTGTATATAAGATTTACTCTAATAACACTTGGATACAAATTTTAGTAAGTAAATAAATTTGTCATGTTTTTGCATGTTGTTGTGTTAGCATTACTTATTATTTTAGTGTTTACATTTATCATGATAGTAGCGACATTGTATAATACAATCATCATTGATAATTGCAAAGGCTCTTAACCCCTTATTTCAAATGGACCGACATGGATCTATTCTGTTGTGAAATGTGAAGCGTGAATTTGAGATTTGTTTATAAAAAGAAAAAAAAAACTTGAGACTTGAAAGTTGGAATACCAAACGCGGTGAGGTTTGACTACTGCATGGCACTACATTGAGTTTAATGTTAAGAAGAAAAGTTCTGAAATTGACCAAAAAAAAAAAAGGACCCACACACACACACATCGATCTGCACTACATTGTGTTTCATGTTAAAAAAAAAAGGGAAAATGAACTGGATGGTTGCCAGTTGAACTGTCTCGGAATGGTTTTGTGCATTTGAACAGAATGTAAGAAATTTTTTTGATTGCATTTTTCAAAAAGTTTTTGGGGAAAAATTAATATAATATTTTTAGAATGTGATGTATGTGATGTAAAAAGTTGATTGGGAAATATGTAAATGGAATATTGCTGCAAAACAAGAAATTTTTTTCCAACAAATAGCAATCCAAACAGGGCCTCAGTCTTCTATTTAATTAGGTAAATCAATTTGAACGTAATGTAACAAAGAATAGTTTTTGTGAACTCCAAACATGATGTTAGAAAATGATGTACACCATATGATATGTGTTATTCTTGATTTTGATGATCACAAAGCACTTTGAAATGTTTATCTAATTCTCTTCAAATATAAGTGTTTTGCTTTTTAGAGAATCATGTACAAAGGTGTCAAGGAAAGAAAATCAACCAAAAGAAGAAGCAAAAATAGGGTACTCATGTCGGACGTCCGAAAGAAAGCTGTAGGACGTTCGAAAGGATGAAAAACATCAAGAAGGAAACTCTGTCGGACGCTCGTGAGGAAGCATCGGACGTCCGGAAGGATCGGACGCACTCCTCGGACGCACATCGATCGTGTCGGACGTCCTAAAAATTTCGCAGAGCTTTGATAACTTTCTGACGACGTTCGGACACGGAAGCTGTCGGACGATAAAATCCCATCGGACGTCCGAACAACAACTTGACTGATTTTCGAACGATGGGATCGGACGATGACTAAGCTGTCGGACGTCCGACAGCCCCAACGGCTAGCTGACTCTTCATCTGCTTTCTATCCGTTGGAAGCATTAATGAAGTCCATTTTTGGTTGCCTTTAAATACAAACGATTTTGAATCAGACAGGGACTTTTGCACACTTTGGTTACAAGATCTCAAGAGATATTTTGCCTAGAAAATAGTCTCCCAAGCAAGATTTGTTCTCCAAGTAGTGTTAAGTTCTTGTAAGCACTTCTCTTGTGTTTAAATTTTTCAATATTGTAGTTTTGTTGAGGGTTATTTGAGTGATAGTAAAACTTCCTAACTTGAATAAGTTAGGCTTGGGGCAAGGAGGAAGTGATCCCTCCATTGTACATTGAGTTGATTATTTTTCATCAAAGAGAAGGTGCTCATATTTGTGATTGGTCTTCAAGTTTGAGGAAAGCTTGATAGACAATCGGTTTGATACTCTATCTTATTCCTTTTGTTTAATAAAATTCTCATTGCTTATATACACTCTTATTTCTGATCAACATTGCTCTCTTCTTTAAATTTACTTGACTGATCACTACTAGAAAAGAAAGTAAATTTTTATTAAAGAAAAAGTGCATAAACTCAATAAAGTATTTTTAATCAACCTAATTCACCCCCCTCTTAGATTGTCTTTGGACCTTACAATTGGTATCAGAGTTTGGTCTCCTAGAGATTAAGCTCAAGCGGCTTGGAGTAAAGATGACAACCAATCATGCCATATTTGTTGAGGGGCAATCTGTCACTAGACCTCCCATGTTTACTGGTTCCAATTATATTAGTTGGAAAGAAAGAATGATTATCTTTTTGCAATCCATTGATATTGAACTATGATTTATTGTGAATGAAGGACCGTATGATGCTAACGTTCTTGATGCAGATACAGGTTTGTTTCGGTCAAAAACAAGAGCTGAGTTGAATGCTCAAGATAGAACCAATCTCACATTGAATGCCAAAGCTATGAATGTTCTTTATAGTGCCTTAGACTCAAATGAATCAATTAGAGTAAAAGGATGTAAATCTGTCAAAGAAATATGGGATAAGCTAAGAGAAATTCATGAGGGTAGTGACAACGTGAGAGAACAGAAAAAGTCTATCTTGGTCACAAAGTATGAATCATTTAAAATAGAACCCCTTGAGGATATTGATAAAATGTATTGCAGGTTCAATGACTTGATCAAAGATCTCGAGGTGTTGGGCAAAGAGTACACCTTGGGAGAGAAAAATAGGAAAATTCTCAATGCGTTGGGCAAAGAATGGGAAAGTAAAGTGACTGCAATAGAGGAGGCTAAGGATTTGAATTCTGTGCCTATTGAATCTCTCATTAACTCATTAACCTCATATGAGTTGAAGTTAAAAACTAAAGTGCAGGAGGAAGAAGACGCGAGAGCAAAGAGAAACATAGCTCTAAAGGCAGCTCAAAGTGAAGATGATCCAGCTCTGTTGGATGATGAAGACTCGGTTAGTGATGACAACGATCTTGCACTCATCACAAAAAGTTTCAAGAGAATCTTGAATAAAAGGAAGTTTAGAAGGGGAGGACCTAGCAATCAATTCCAGAATCAATCCTCAAACGTAAGGAACAAAGGAAAACAAGAATTCAACAAGAAACAATTGGACAAATGCTACGAATGTGGACAGCCTGGATACTATGCAAACGAATGCTCCCTGAAGAAAAATAAAGATGGAAAAGCTAATCGAAAGCCAAGGTTCAACAACTTCCAGATTACATGGAATGAATGTAACTCCGAAGGCGAAGTTGAAGAAGAAGAAGAATCAGCTCAAATGGCTTTTATGGCTATTGGAGATAATGAGATAATTTCCATACACTCTCAATCTGATAGTGATGATGAAGATGATGATGATCTTGAATCCTTTGTTAAAAAATTGCATAATGCCTTGAAGGAATCTTATGATAAAAACAAGCAGGTAAAATAGAAAATTGTCTTTCTCATTCAAAATAATGCAAGTCTTCTTCAACAAAATAAACAACTAAAGGCTGACAATGAGTGCCTTGTAAGAGCCGAATTTGATGTTCAAAATGAACTTGATAGAAAGACAAGTGTTTGTGAAATGCTAAAGAAAAGACATGGTGATTTGAATAAAAGGATGGACAATTTGGATGAGACTTTAAAAGCTAGAAAACAAGATTATCTCAAAAAGAACATGTCAACCACCTTTCTTGCAGCTCATGAAAGAACATTAGCACTCAACAAAAATGCACATGGTTTCACAACATATAGAAAGAGTGGAGTGAGATTTATCAAATCATTACATGTTAAAGACTCTTCCATTATGTGTAGTTGTTGTTGTCAAAGAGGGCATTTGAAAGGAGATTGTTATGTGAAAAGAAATTTGAACGAAGGAATGAGATGCGTGTGGTTAGTTAGACACGATTCTAACTATTATGGATCCAAAAGTTAAAGGGTACCAAACACTCTCTCTTTTCAGGGAAAAGGCTCAAACAAATCCAAATGGTTCATTGACAGTGGCTGTTCAAGGTATATGACCGGTGATCCTTCTTTGTTCATAAAGCTAAAATCAAAATCAAGTGGAAAGGTGACATTTGGTGATGACGTGAAAGCTAAGACAATTGGAATAGGAGATGTTGGTAAGGATGGTGAAACTTTTGTTCATAATGTGCTCTTAGTTGATAATTTAGGTTATAACTTGCTTAGTGTTATTCAATTATGTGATAAAGACTTGAATGTGTTGTTCAAAAAGCATGAATGCATTGTTCTTGACCCTAAATATAATGTTCTGTTCAAAGGT